TTCTTGCAGGTGATTGGGTATTTTTTGCAAAGTCAAGCTTTACCTCATTCACTAAGCTCTGCAGCAAATGCACTTTGCAAAATCCACAATATTTGCCTTTAGTAAATTTTTTTGCAAAAACCACCAAATCACATGACAACTACCAGGGGCGGACTGACAACTCATGGGGCCCCCAGGCAATAGGGGATCACGGGGCCCCTGTGTACTTGCCCAAACTCAAAACAGCCTATGAAAAAGGTACCAGGGGCATCTCATGGGGCCCCCTACTGACCCCGGGCCCTCAGGCAGTGCCTGAGTTTCCAAATGGTCAGTCCGCCCCTGACAACTACGCAGACAACTCCTCTTTACAGCTGTACCTTTTACAACATCCTTAAAGAAAATTAGCAGAAGACTACACTGGATTCTAAGTAAAAATAGGACAATAATGGGCACAAGATCACCAAAGCTTTACTTTTTAGTCGCTTCATCAGATTAGCAGTCCTGAGGGTTGATTTACTAAAACTGGAAAATCTGGTGCAGCTTTGCATGGTAGCCAATCAGCTTCTAACTTCACCTTGTTCAATTAATCTTTGAGAATAAAACCTGCAAGCTGATTGACTTCTATGCAGAGCTGCAACAGATTTTGCACTCTCCAGCTTTCGTAAATCAACCCCATGGAGCGTAAACCTCCGTCTAGGTAGTCACACCAGCAGGGGCGCAACTGGAAACTGAAATGCAGAGATTTCCCCATCAGAGCATCCTAGGAATGAAATCTGAATTTACTTTAGGGATTCTTTACATGGCCATTCTCTATTAAAACAGTGCTTTAGTGGAGATTTTTTAATAGACTGTCCATATTGATTGATAGATTGCAGTTAAGACCTTTCCATGCATAGCTACTGTTTATACATTTATTGCTTCAGCTGGAAGGTGTGCAAGGCTCTATGTTTGACAGGTAATCTGACATCATTGTAATCCATGGCCCGGAGCACTGATATTTCCATGTACATAGATGTTGTCTCTTAATGAGTCATAGATGACTAGTTTACATTGCATTATATACAATAAAATATGCTATTGTTACTACTGTGTGTCTCAAAGAAAGCTGGTTAGTCATATGACACATGACATTTTGTAATGTTTAGCAAAACAAAGACTCAAAAAGGATTTACTGTTTTTTTTTTTTTTTTTTTTCCTTCAAATATTTTATTAAAGGTAACATAACAGAATTGGTGATTACAGATCTAGAGGTCGCAAGTATATAAGTGCCCGGAAGGTGCTTGTATATGTTGGGGACACAACCTCTAACATTATGAACAAAAATAGTATCAGTATTCTCGAAAAGAGTAGAAAGTAGACAGTTTTATACACCTGACTGATATTTAGAAAACCACAACGGGTCAGGGTGCGGATAGTGTCATGTGATGACTAGTATAGCAATTCTATTTAGGGAGGTATTTCTGATATATTTGTTTGCTTAACCGGGGGAGGGGGGGATTGAACTGTAGGCATCTCAGTTGGCATGGTTAAGGGTGTGTCATTAGTGACCAATATCTGAACAACCATCAGGTAAAGGAGAAGAAAAGGAAAAAAAAAGGGGGGGGGGGGGAGGGGAAAGAGGAGGGGAGATGGGGGGAGGTATGAAGATAGGGGGGAACTGGAGATGAGGAGTGCAGGAGGGGTACATGAGGAGGGGAGGGGTGGGAAGGAGGTGTGGTGGGGATGATCAGAGAAGAGGTGAAGGGGACAGCGAGGGGGAGGCGCAGCAACCTTAGTGCCGGCCATGAATTGAGGACTAGTGTAGATCCTAACATGGAAGAAGTAAGGATTCATCAAAATCAGGTGGGAAGAAGTGTTCTACCCATGGTTTCCATAACATTTCATATTTACGCACTTTATCTAAAAGGACCACTTTGACTTTCGCATGGATCGTAGCTTTGGTTGGTGATCCTGTGTTTCACCTCTGAAATGTGGAGGTGAGGGGATTTCCTGGCCTTGGCAATAGTTTGTTTTGCTGCAGTCGTGACCTGAGGAGCTTGAAGTGTCCGAGACATGTCTGGGGGCCTTTTATTAAGAAGGGCGATAGCCAGGACAGTAGGTAAAGAGTAGGGGAGCATGGTGGAGAGGATATGAAAAATCTAATTCCAGAAAGAGAGGGCCAAGGGGCAAGTCCACCATATGTCATAATGACTGCCATGGTGGGAGCAGCCCCTAAAACTGGTGGATGAGTAGAGAGGGAGATATTTAGCTATCCGAGTGGGAACCATGTACCATCTCATAAGCACTTTGTAATTTGTTTCTAAGGCCACTATGTTTTGGGAAGCCGATTTTGTGGTTAGCCAGATATCTTCCCAGTCAATGGGGTCAAGGTTAAGACCAAGGTCTCTCTTCCATCTGGTGAGGTGTTGAGGGTGGCGGAGGAGCTAATAGCTGGGAATAAAGTGTAGAAATTAGGCCTCGGGTATATGGGTCATTCTTGCAAGTCCTTTCAAATTTGGACATTGCTGGTAAGGTGAAATCCGTACGTAGATTAGGTGAGAAAGGTACTTGATTTGCCAGAATCAAAATAATTCAGGCCCTGGAAGACTGTATGTTTTGCATGATGATGGGAATGGTTTGAAGGTATCTAGAGTTGTTAATTTATGAGCCCGAGTAGGGTTGCTAGAGGACTAATTGTGCAATGTGGAGGGGGATGTCCAGGCTGGTGCAAAGGCAGGGTTGTTGAGGAAGGACAGGAGGAGATCATGGGGAGATTGTAAACCAAAGTGTATCTTGAGAGAGTCCCAGAGAGAGAGACTGTGTTTGTTGATAGGGTTACGGAATGCGCTACGGTCTTTCGGGTGAAGCCACAGCAGATTCGCAACTGATAATGGGACACAGTCTACAGCCTCTATGGCTACTCAGAGAGGGGTCTCATGGACCGTGTGGTATTTAGTGAGTTGAGCAAGATGTGCCATTTGGTAATATTTGGTGAAGTGTGGGAGGCTTAGGCCTCCTGTAGTTTTAGATGAGAAAAGAAGTGACTTGGAGATTCACGGTCTAGTTTTGCCCCAGATATAAGACTGAGTTCGATGTTGGAGAGTTCTGAGGAAATAGGAAGGGACTGGGATGGGAAGGACACAAGAGTTTTTGGGTAGGATTGGCATTTTAACAACAATCATGCGCCTCATCCATGCCAGGGTTTTTTTTTTTTTTTTTTTTTTTTTTTTAAAACATACTGTATATACACATATTTCTTCTAGTGGACAGAAAATAGAGTAGGTCCTACTCTTTTCAATAGTGTTATTATGATTTCAAGTAAAAATACAGATGGAAATAAATATATGTTATATAATATGACAAAAGTTTATAATATTATTAGAAATAATGAATGCAATACAAAATAATAAAATTAAAAAGGTGGCTGTAGGAGTTTGGGGTATCAATAAAAGAAAATAAAAACTTTAGTCTTTGAGTGGATATATAAATAAACCAAGGATGCCAGATTTTCGAGAAATCATCTATTTTATAATTTAGGCTAAGAGATTATCATTGATCATCAGCCAGATCAGTTTTACAATAATCTAGTCAAGTGTAATTGACTGAGTTTCCTGTCCTAGCAATTGTAATTTTGCTTGCAAGGAAGACGTAAGAGATTAGTTTGCCAGAATGTCTAGGAATGCTCGAAAAAGAGCGGTTAGGGAGGACCATACTGTAGAGGCTGTCTCAGATAATGATATATAAGTAAGGGAATAAATTGGTGTGTACATTAATATCCCAAATTCATGGGTTATTAGCAGGCATGGGACAAAAAATAGGCCCGGCATATTAGACTGAGCTGCCCATTTTTTTAAAAACCAAATTACAAATACTGACAACTACCGGTTTCTCAATGTCTTTTAGTTATTTAGCCTGTTTGAGTCACTGATTGATTGCAGTCACCGCTCACTGATTGCTAAAGGTTACTGCACATCTCTACTGCTCACCCATTAATGGCTGGGGGGGAGGGTGTGGGCAGTGGTGTGGGTGATGGAATGAATGGCAGTGCTGAGGAGGGGTGAGTAGCAATGATGTGGATGGGATCAATGGCAGTGCTGGGGATGGAATAAGTGGCAGTGCTGTGGGGGATGGAATCAGTGGCAGTGCTGGGGGAGGATGGGATCAGTGGTGGAAGTACGGGGGGGGGGAAGGTGGGAGGAGTGATAGTGCGGGGTTAGGGAAATGGGATGAGTGGCAGTGATGGGGGGATGTTCTTTAGAACTGTATTATATTCTTTGAATGTAAGAATTATTGTCAATGTTGCTTTTCAGGTTAGTGGGAAAAAAAATACATGCACATTTTTTTCCTGCAAAAGTATGTACATTTTATTTTTTTTTTTTCAAGATGAACTTAGCCTTTAAATTTGCCGATGGTATAATATTTTTGTAATAATTTCAGTAAGTTTTGGGTTGCTATCATAGGGAAAGTATGGCTATCAAGATGTCATCCACAAGTAATGCACCTCTATGTTCATGACCTCCTATGAAAATAACTTTTCTGTTAGGATCCTTAGAATCCTTGCCAATGGTTCAGTGTAGAAAAAGGAATGGAGATAGTGGGCAACCTTGATGAGTGCCAGAGAATCCATTTGGTCCTGGAGCTATGGAAAGTTTTAATGCTGTTTTGATTTATTCAGTTGTAAATGGACAATGAACTAGACAGAGATTCGGTCCATTACGATGTTTGTAGAAAAAATTTGTTATTCTGACATTCAGATGTAAACAAATATCTGAGTCACAACAGTAACGAATGAAAGAGAACCTGAAAAAAAAAAATTAAACAAAATGTTCGTATCCATCCATTTATTTGAAGGATGTCCAATGATACAATAGTAGTTCTGACCCATGGGGAAATTGAACATTTTTTTAAACCACCTGGTTATACAAAAAAAATTCAGGAGAAACAAAACATATCCTCAAAATAAAGCGGACCAACACAACAAATACGAAGAAACAAAAATATCAACTTAACAAACACAGGTGTATAAAATCAAGCACCTAGGCATACAGACTGCTTCTAAAACCATTTGTGAAAGAATGAGCTGAGTGAATTCAAGTATGGTACCGTGATAGGTTACAACCTGTGCAATATGTCCATCACTGAAACTTCCTGGCTACTAAATATTCCACGGCCAACTGTTAGTGGTATTGTAACAAAGTGGAAGCAACTGGGAACAACAGCAACTCAGCCACCAAGTGGTAGGCCACGTAAAATGACAGAGAGGGGTCAGTGCATGCTGAGGCACGCAGTGCGCAGAAGTTGCCAACCAACTGTCTGCAAAGTCAATATCTAAAGACTACTAAACTTTGTAGAGAGCTTCATGGAATGGGTTTCCATGGCTGCATCCAAGCCTTACATCACCAAGTGCAATGCAAAGCGTCGGGTGCAGTGGTGAAAAGCACGCCGCCACTGGACTCTAGAGCAGTGAAGATGTGTTCTCTGGAGTGACGAATCACTCTTCTCTGTCTTGCAATCCGATGGACGTATCATACCAAGACATTTTGGACAATTTCATGCCCCCAACTTTGTGGGAACGGTTTGGGGATGGCCCCTTCCTGTTCTAACATGACTACACACCAGTGCACAAAGAAAGGTCCATAAAGACATGGATGAACGAGTTTGAGGTGGAGGAACTTGACTCACCTGCATAGTCCTGACCTCAGCCTGATAGAATACCTTTGGAATGAATTAGAATGAAGACTGCGAGCCAGGCCTTCTCATCTGACATCAGTGCCTGACCTCACAAATGCGCTTCTGGAAGAATGGTCAAATGGGATCATTACTGATGGACTTATGGCCATCGTTAAAAGGGTTTACACCAGTCATATGTCTTCCTGTGGCTGAACGTCTCATCACCGTACTATGCTTGAAGTCTTCTGTAGATATCTGCAGGTTTTATGCCTTTCGTTCACAAGAAACGTCATTATCACATGCTGTTGCATGCACGCACTAACACTGTTGCCTTCCAACTTGATTAATGGTCTCTGGACTGACCTGTGACATGTGTGCTGCCTATCAGTAATAGGACACACTTGCCACTTACTACTGCATGTAGTACCACCATGCTAGCATCTCTTTTAATACCTGTAAAATTAAAAATCCCGGTTTGACTTGAATTCCCCTTGTAGTAGGTCTTAGAGTAGGTTTTCAAGTTGGAATTTTACCCGGTCTATCACCCTGGGTATAAAAATGATGCTTGTTTCAAGGAATATCTTTCTTGTAAAAATAGTATGTCTATGGCCATGGAGTTACAATATCAGAATGCAAATGTTTTTAATTGGGGTAATTAAGATCTTGCGTATTATGGGTTAAAATTATGTAAACGTCTTTAGATAATGCTGTGGCCATAGTAACGTAAAATGTATAGGATTTATATTAAAACTATTAGAAAAGAACACATCATACCCCAAGAAATAAAATAAATTAATGGGGAATTGGAGATGGAAAAAAGTAAAAAGAGATGAAGAAAAAAAAGCTCAAATATAAAATAGGAGCAATATAACATATACTGTATACAGTATAAATAAATATGACTTTCGATAATGCATATAGGACCAGATGCATGAAGCATTAAGTGTAGTCGTTTTTTTTTTTTTTTGTGAAAATACGTCTACTTAGGGAGGCATGCTGTGCCCCTTGGCAACATTGTGGCTTGAGTTTTGTCTTATTTAATTTAGTATATGTATTTTATAGCTTCAATAATAAATATATTATATATTTAATCTATGCAGGAAATGTATAGTTTAATTAAAAATATATTTCCTGTTCAAATCCATGTATTAACATAACTTTTATGTAACAAAGCTGTGAGATAAAGTAATTAAGAATAAACAGCAATCACAAGCTGTCTATAAGAAGAAATATAGTCAAAATGGAGGTCTGTCGTTGGGGGAGGAGAAGGATTCTAGTGGATAATAAGTTTTGTAGTTAGGAAATATTACAAGTGAGGGTTCTTTTCTGAAAAGTCCAAGCGAGTTCCATACGAGTTTAAAGAGGTTCTACTGGATTAAAAAAATAACGCAGATTTTTTTTTGAGGAGAAAATTCTAAACATATTGGCCTAATATATATCCAGTAATATCCATCTAGGAGGGAGGGGGTAGTGGTACAGGAGGATGGAGTGGTAGGAGGAATGAAGAATGGCTGTTAGGTGAGGTTGGGGTAGGCTTCCCTGAAGAAGTGGGTTTTCAGGGAGCGCCTGAAGGTGAGGAGGGAAGGTGACAGTCTGATGGATTGGGGTAGTGAGTTCCAGAGGATGGGGGAGGACCTGGAGAAGTCTTGCAGTCGTGCGTGGGAGGAGGAGACCAGGGAGCAAGATAGGAGGTCCTGTGAAGAGCGAAGGGTACGGGTTGGGTGGTACCTGGGAATCAGGTTGGTGAGTTAGGTAGGGGCAGTGTTGTGGATGGCTTTGTAGGTCAGAGTGAGTAGTTTGAATTTGATGTGTTGGGCAATGGGGAGCCAGTGGAGGGATAGGCAGAGGGGGGTGGCAGAGGTGGAGCGGTTGGTGAGGTGGATGAGTCTAGCCGCTGAGTTCAGGATGGTCTGAAGCGGGGAGAGCCTGCACTGGGGTAGGCCGGTGAGGAGGGAGTTGCAGTAGTCGAGGCGTGAGATAATCAGGGAGTGTACGAGTAGTTTAGTGGTGTCTGGGGTAAGGAAGGCATTATAAACCACCTTGTCTGCACCTTATGTTTTCCACCTGTATAAGATGTGCGTTGAATATGTACTTTAATTGTGTCATTTGTTGCCCAGTACACACAGCCTGTAGTAGAGGAAATCTTCACATTCCACTGTCAGAAGTTTCTGTATGTGTTCAAACAGTATGGCACTGCACAGGTTAATGCATGACCTCTGTAGTCTAACTGACATTTCTTATGAAGAAGCTTCATATCCCACAGTAGCTGGGTTTTGTAGTCTAGTGCACTTCAGAGCTAATTAAATCACAGAACCAGCCAGGCAGAGCAAGTAACAGAGAGATCACCGTGCAGCTTTTCATCACATTACCACTTCCACATTTGTGATGCAACACAGAAGACAAAGGCATGGATTGAATGCAGTGTGACCCAAAAGAAGTTGCTTGTCCCTTTAGTTATCAGGGACAGGTTAGGTGAATTAATGCATGGACATAGGGGAATCGATCAGTCATGACACTACAAACTACAGCCACAACATGGGAGCCCATTAGTAGAAGGTAAGGAAAACAAACAACACAGATAATATAACTATACATAGATTACATTCATACCGGCATCCAGCAGCAATCATTGCAGGTAACCGGTCATTATAGTGAACATGGCCGGTGGCCACACCTAGCCGTTCGCAGCAGCAGCCGCAGGAATTGGAAGATTCCTGCCACTGCAGTTTGCACTGTTCTAAATCACTGGTATGGATGTACATAGCTTAATACCTAATTAAAACCCGCGAAAACATTTGAAAGTGTTCAATTCCTTTAGTGATTCTAAACCTAAAAATGTTTTTACCTTAATGCATTCCTTGCAAAAAGGTAAAAAAAATGTTTTCAGTTTCTTTGTCTTCCCCTTCCCTGTGTACAGGGGAAAAAGGGGAAAACAGATTGAGCGCTGTGCACAGCTGAATCTTTTCCACCCCCTCTTCCTCTTCACACAGCACTTGAGCAGGAGCAGGAACCATTGGCTCCTGCTTCTGTCAATCAAATGCAGTGAAGAGGAAGTGGGGGCAGGACAAAGTCCCGCTGTCTGTCTATTGAGTGCTGCTCCATAGACACACAGCTCCGGAGCGAACAGACACAGTGTGCCCTGTAGCAAATGGCTTGCTTTGGAAACACACGAAGAAGAGGAGGAGCCAAGACTGCCAGTAGGGCACCCAAGAGGAGGAGGATCGGGGATGTTCTGTGCAAGCCGTTGCATAGAGCAATTGAGTGTAACATGTTTGTTATTTTAATAAAAAAAAAAAAAAAGTTTAGACTTTAGTAACACTAGAAGTATTTGACCTCCCTGGCGGTATTCCCGAGTGTAGCTCGGGGTAAAGTTTCAGTACCAAAAGCGGTAACCCCGAGCTACACTCGGGAATACTATGCAGCGTTGCTCCACAATCCTTCGATTACTTACCTTGTCCTGCGCTCCCGCGATGTCCCTCCTGCAGTGTCCCCGGCAATGTCCTCCAGCTGATGCGGGCATTTGTCTTCTGGGTTCTGTCCCCTGTGAGCGTTGGGACATACGGGGGACGGAACTGGCGGGAAATTAAAAAATGACAAAAAGTGATATTCACTAAAATCACTAAAATCACATAGTATAACATTCCTGTATCAAACCATTCACATACATTTTGTCCCGAGTGCTTTGTCTGGCGCCCTGTCTGCATTTTTACTGTTCTTTCTGCCTGGAAACTGAGAAACGTCCATCGCGTCCAAAAAGCTTCCCTTTAGGTCAAAATCGGTTTTAGACCAGCTAGAGAACAGCGATAGTAAATCAGAACCACTTGCAGAATTGAGTGATAATGATTCGTGGGGGAAATTCGTCATCAGACACTGAAAAGGATTCTGCGACTTTGCTCAGTGATGTGCGAACTTGGCGCTATATTTAAAATTTCAGTGTTTTTTTTTTTGATTATATTATTGAATTAAATTTATTTCTTATATTATTATTTTTATGATTGTTTGTTAAATTATAATTTATGATTTCGTGTTTCAAATTTTATCAGACCCGGAATGTTTACTAGACTCTTGTTCGGACGGATTTCAGTGAGTTATTCCTAAAAATTACAGGCCTATAATAAATACTGTACAATACAGCACCAAAAAATCTGAAATAATCATATCGCCAGGGAGGTTAAATCACAAGTTGTCAAGTAATGACTAAGATTCCAAGTTCCACTTGGTGTATTTTGGAGGTTCAGAACCAGATTGAAGAAAGGTGTTCATATTCAGGTTTCATTATGGGTATGGTTTTCTCTGCATATGAGGCCTATGCTAACTAAAAAAAAAAAAAAAAAAAATCTCTTTCTAGAAGATATAAAAAAGAATGAGATTTGCTCCTATACATATAGTAAAATGAGGATTGATATGAAATGTTATTTTACAGTTTACAATTGAAATGGTTAAGGAGAGAGTTTAGGGATGTACGTTTATGTGTTGTTTGCAAGAGAGTCTTACTCTTAAGCCCATATACAGTGACCGAATATTTTTTGTTCAACCAGACATTAAAATAAAATGGACAGATCACCATATTAACACAAATTATGTTGGTGTGGTGATCTCCCCTGCTGTTCTATTGAATTGTGACAGTGGGGGGGGCTCTCCTACTCCCCCAACATCTCCCCCAACCCAAAATTCACAGATTAGCACTTCCAGCGTGTCCCTTCTACAAAAGCCGGTCATTAGACCGGCTTCTGTGGGACATACAGTTATTCACACTGACCGAAAATCAGCCGGTTCCTCCTGAACTGGCTGATTGTGGCAAGTGTGTAGCCAGCTTTAAAGGTTCAGTCCAGCCAAAACTTATCATGAAAGGGCAATTCCCACTCATCTTCATTCTTCATCAATG